AAATTAGCCACCATCTTTGTTGGCGGTTAATTTGCATATCACCCTGATTAGCCAATGGGAGGCATAGCGAAGATATGGTCAATTACCATGTTTGTCTATTATTAGATAGGATGATTTGTTATTTGAGATGAATATATAGGAAATGTTCTGTATGTCACAGAAACCTTGTAAAAACTGCCTTGAAAAGAATAGCACTATTGATAGATTAACTTCTATACAAATTCACCTTTTACACATTGACAGATACAGAATGAAAAAAACAGTCATGAGAGCAATATTATCCTTTATATTTTATTTCCTTGTGCTAGAAAGATAAAAAGCTGAAAGTTTTGCTCATGCTTGAATCATTTTACACTGATACTGTATTTTAACACTAAATTGTGTCTATTTCTCAATTAGTTAAAACTCCCTGCAAAAGAAAAATAGGTATGTAATAAGGAAGGACTCTTCCACTAAACTCTGAATGTAGACTGGGGCATATAGTCAACTATTATGTCTAATATTCATGGCTAATGAAGTTTTTACCCTTTTGCTCTTACTGGCATTTGGGAAGCCCTATTGGGTACCACTAGCTGAGGCCTATCTTTATCCTCAAATCAAATCCACCCACCTTCTTTATAATCAATGATGCTATCTGTGGAACGGGGGAAGATACTGGTATTAAAACATATGAAGTAGGGTTGAGGGTTGTTTTCTTGGGGCTTGGCAACTAGGCAGAGAAGTTTCAGCTGATGCAATAAGAAAGCAGAGCCATGAGGCTTTTGGGCAGATGGTAGTAGAATTGGGTTAAAGGCAGTTTATCTGGCACCAGTGTGCAAGATGAATTAGAGAGGAGAAAAACTAGAGTCAGGGAGGTAACTATTAATAAAAGGAAATCTCTTACTGGGAATTTCATTATGTCTAATTCAAAATCCAGGGCCAGCAACTTCATCCCATAAAATCATGTCCTCTCTACATCCGATAGTATCAAATCTCTTGATAGTCTACCTCTTTCTGCATGTGCAAATGCAAAAAAGCAGGGAGAAATTGTGTCCTTTCTAGAAGTAGAGACACCATAAGTTTCCAGAGGGCAGACACAGGTCTTTTATCATCAAATCTCTAGTCTTTAGAATATAGTGCAGGGGTCCTCAAACTTTTTAAACAGGGGGCCAGTTCATTGTCCCTCAGACCGTTGGAGGGCCGGACTATAGTTTAAAAAAAAACTATGAACAAATTCCTATGCACACTGCACATATCTTATTTTGAAGTAAAAAAACAAAACGGGAACAAATACAATATTTGTATTTGCATGTGGCCCGCGGGCCGTAGTTTGAGGACCCCTGATATAGTGGGTCTCACAAAATGTTCATTGATTGAATGAATGAAAATAAGAGTAAATATAAATGGAAGCAAAACATTCTAGAGGATGTAGTATATCTTGAACCACAATCAAATGATAACAGATAACTTTAGGTTCCTGGCCATGTATCATTTCCTCTGAGCACTGGGCAGTTGGAAGAATAAACTATTCATTTCCTTCAGAAGTGTTATAGGGAATGAATACCAACTATGAACAAGATAATGCATGAATGGATTTGTGTAGTTAGCACTCTCATTATCCAAATAGGGGAAAGGAGTTGTAGATTAAAGGTAATCTGTGCATTACTTCATCTGGCAAACACTAGATCCATATAGATAGCCCCTCATGCAATGGGAAATATACCAGTATGGGATCCTATGAAAAACATCCTTCCATACTGTGAAAATGATTTATTTTCAATGAAAGCAGGAACTTTTAGAAAATAAGATACATGATGACAAGTTTACACATTCAGAAATGTCAGTAGATCAGAAACCAAAGAACCAGGTTGGCTGTAATAATATATCATCCTCATCCTTAGGAAAAGTGGAACAACATGTAGGAGCCATGAGCAAGGAGCCTTGAAGGGTTGGGTCAAGCAAAGCCAAAACTGGATAAGAGGATACAGAAGGGGCAACTATCACAAAGTTGAAGAGCAGCTAGAGGAGTCATGAAACAAAAATTAAGGGATGTGAGCCATAAGGTCCTGAGTCCAGAGGCTGATGAATGAACGTGAACAAAAATTTTCCTTGAAATTAAAGGAGTGGCCCTCTGGGTTATTTTGTATGGGTGTTACCCAACTATTGTACCTTACTCACTAGTATATCATCTCATCAACTCTATGTCTCCCTTTCACATGGCATCTTTCTAAGTGCAGACAATACAACAGTACAAAGAACAAAGCAGTTGAATTCTGCTTCATCCTGTTAATGGGAAAAGTACTCACGTTCCACAAAGTAAGAGCTGGCATCAATCTTCCAGATGATCTGGCCCCGATGAGAACCATTGACTCCACGGTTCTTATAGTCCAGAAAGTTTTCCGACAATACCTCATCTATATTCCCAAGAAAGAAAGAGAGTAGAGAAACATATCAGCCAATAGCATATATATGGGAATAAAAGAGCAAAGGATATTAATGTCATCTCCAGAACAATGGAGAAAAAAGCATCTGGAATCATAGAATCAGAGAACTCACAGAGAATCACAGAATCAGTATCCAGAGGTATCCTCTGGACAAGCCCCTTTTTAATGTAGAACTCTCTTCTCATTTCACAATACTCTTGGTAAATTATCATCTAGCTGGTTCTTGAACAACTACAAAAACAAAACTATAATTGCTTTTATGGTAGTTTATTTTACTTTTGAAAACTCTTATATGCATGAAATCTCAGTGTGGAATCTTCCTCCTAGGCGGGAAAAAGATGGCAGTAGAGTAGGTGGAAGTTTCACTCATCTCCTCCCAGGTTCGAACTGGAATTACAACTAAATTATAGAACAATTAACCTGAATAACTAACTGAAGATTAGCTGAACATGTCTTACAACCAAGGATTTACAGAAGCCACCTAAAAACTGGTAGGAAGGGTGGAGACTCTAAAAGGCCTGGCCCCATACCCATTTGTGGTGGCTGAGAACTTGGGAAGATATCTCAGTTACAATGGTCCCCCCTTACAAATGTGGTGTTTCAACTCTATGCCTGACTCCCTAGCCTGGAGCACCACGGCAATAAATAAGTACCTAACAATAATAGCCTTAAATGTAAATGAATTGAATGCTCCAATCAAAAGAATAGGGTAGCTGAATGGATAAGAAAACATGACCCAATATATGTTGTCTACAATAGAGCCACCTCAGAACAAAAGACTCACACAGGATAAAAGTGAAGAGATGGAAAACATTTTCCATGAAAATGGAAATGAAAAAAATGCAAGGGTAGCAATATTTAGATCTGACAAAATAGACTTCAATGCAAAGGCCATAACAAGAGACAAAGAAGGCCATAACATAATACTAAAGTGATTGATATAACAAGAGTATATAACTTTTAAAAACGCACCCAATATAGGAGCACCTAAATATATAAAAAAGCTCTTGGAGTACTTTATGGGAGAGATTGACAGCAATGCAGTCATAGTTGGGGACATTAACACTCAATAGACATCACTGGATACATCTTCCAGATGAAAAACCAACAAGAAAACATTGACTCTAAATGACACAGTACATCAGATGAACTGAATTGATATTTACAGAACATTTCACCCAAAAGATGCACAATATACATTCTTTTCAAGTGCACATGGAACATTCTAAAAAATAGACCACATGTTAGGATACAAAATAAGTCTCTACCAGTTCAAGAAGATTGAAATCATATGAAACATCTTTTTAGCTCATAAAGGCATGAAACTAGAAATCATCTACACTAAAAACACTCAAAATATTTCAAACACATGGAGGCTAAATAGCACGTTATTAAACAATAAATGGGTTAGCAATGAGATCAAGGAAGAAATGAAAAACTTCCTGGAAACAAATAAAAATGAACACAAAACAACCCCAAATCTATGGATCACAGCAAAAGCAGTCCTGAGAGGGAAGTTCATAGCATTACAGGCCTACCTCAAGAAACAAGAAAAATCTCTAATAAACTATATAACCCTACAACTAAAAGAATTACAAGGAGAACAAGAGAAAAAGCCCATAATAGGTAGAAGGAAGGCTATAATAAATATCAGAGCAGAAATAAATGACATAGAGACTAAAAAAACAATACAAAAGATCAATGAAACCAAGAGCTGGTTCTTTGAAAAGATAAACAAGAATGATGAACATGTAGGCAGATTTATCAAGAGACAAAGAAGCCACAAATAAATAACATCAGAAACAAGAGGTAAAATAACAACTGATACCACAGAAATACAAAGGATTGTAAGAAAATATTACAAACAACAAATTGGACAACCTGGGCAAAATGGACAAATTCCTAGGAACATACACTCTTCTAAAACCCAATTAGGAAGAATCAGAAAACCCGAATAGACCAATAACAACTAATAAAATTGAAGCAGTAATAAAAAAAAACTTCTGGCAGACAAAAGCTGTGGACTGGATGGCTTCACAGGGAAGTTTTATCAAATACTCAAAGAAGAACTAACACCAATCCTTCACAAGCTATTCCAACAAAACTCAAGAGGAGGGAAGACTTCCAAGCTCTTTTATGAGGCCAGCATTATCCTAATTCCAAAACCAGAAGAAGACACTACAAAGAAAGAAAATTACATGCCAATATCCCTTGAACATACATGGCAAGATCCTCTACAAAATATAAGCAAATAGGATCCAGCAATATATTAGAAATATTATTCACCAAGACCAAGTT